TGCACCCATGTAATCATTAAAAACTTTTAAATATACCGGGACAACGATTGCGACCAGGAACAAAGCTGTTACTGATGTCACTGGGTAACAAACTGTGGAAGACAAATCAGGGCGTCAGTTAGGCTGGATTTGTAAGAAATAATTCTCTTGAGACTGATTTGATAATATTGCAAACCAGTACTGGAAAAGTGGAAGAGTTCTTGGGAGTGTAGGGGATTGTTTGCAGGACTCATAACCATGCCAACTAACTGACTAAATGTTTTTTTGCTGCTTACAAACAAACTAGTGTTTTTTAGCTGTTCACTGACTAAGTAGCATATTTTTAGCTGTTTACTGACTGCAACCATACCCCTAGCCTGCGAGAGCATCCGTTTTTTTCGGCTCTGTATTTTCAAAGAATGACTTGAAAATTTGTAGCGGCGGTGACAAAATGAGAAATGCTAGCAGCCACCAATGCAAGGTGAAAATGAGCGCCGGTGAACGTGAACACGTACGACATTTCCTTCGAAAAACTTGTAAATAAGCAGTTTCTGGCAACGGCACCGCATCGCCAATCGCGAGGTCACGGGTTCAAATCCTTGCTTGGCCTTTTTATTCACCCTGTCTCATACAGCGAGTGATGTAGCTAATATCTTGTGATTAGCTATCAATGCAATAAGACTAAAGTATCAAGAAAAATATAATAGAAATATAGAATAATTCTTAACTCCTTGAAATTTGTCATACCCTGCTAGGAGAGTAGCTTCGATCTTTCCTAGATAAGACTTATCTGGGAAGATCGAAGGAGACTCTGCTCCCAGGGTAAATTTGTCAAGGCCATTTCTAATGAATGTGTCTCCCTAAATTCCGGACGTTCCTTCAGACAATAGGGCCATTTATACGAGGAAAAATAAGACGCGAACTTTCCGTATAAATGGCACATTTCGTCTAAAATAAGACGCGGCTTAGCTAAGACGCGTCTTATTAGATAAGACATGCTCATATAAATGGTACACTTCGCGTCTTATTTAAGACGCGTCTTATTTTTCCTCGTATAAATGGCCCTATTGACGTCGAGTCAAGGGTTCCCTTTAAGTGCCTGACCAGTCCACATTGGTTACGAGAACATTTACGGCTTGTTTTCATATCATCGCTACAATAAGACTAATAAGACCAAGAGTTAATGGCAGTCCCTCATTTTCCTTGGGGAGAGTAGAGCTAACTAAATACGCAAGGGGAGCGTCGAAACGTCGGCACCTTCGAGGAAGGTTACACGCGGAGGGAAGATGTTCGCGCACTCGCTTATTTCAGTTGATCTCGAATCCCTGAGAAAAAAAGAGGGACTACTCATTTTCAACGCTAGCGGCGCTAAAAACAGTCCAACCATCGAAGTGATCAGCCTTGAGATAGGACTCAAGTCTATATCGACGATCATTGTCACGAGGGTTGAAAAAGACTTTAACAGAGGCGGATCAAGAATTTTTCGTAGAACGGGGTGCACTACTAAGAAATGGCATAATTGACTGGTGACGTAAACAAATTTTAATAGCGAATACGAAGAAGAAGACTTTCGACTAGGCAATAACATAATGTGAACTGCTGAGAATACATATCAAATGATAAAGCAGATTTTGTATAACTGTGAAGCAGACTGCACAGTGTTAATTAGAAAGCCGCAGGTCATTTCAGGGGGGGTGCGCACCCCCTGCACCCTCCCCCTAGATCCGCCCCCGTTTAAAATAACGTTGCATGCCCACTGAATAAATCAAAGGCCATCCCCATAAAATTTTTCGTTTCCAATCTCCCGACCCACCCATTTTCTGGAAAAGTAAAAACAAAAAACTCCAGAATCACTTGTAAAGAAGCAAGTACTTTAATTTACAAGCACAACATCTTGTCTTATTAAGACTATAAACACCAATTATCTTAAAGGGTTACAAGGAATTGCAGGGGGCTACAAGACGTTACAGCCGGTTACAGGGGGATACGAGGGGTTACAGGGGGTTACAGGGGGTTACAACGGGTTACAGGAAGTTACAGGGGGTTACAAGAGGTCACAAGGGGTTAGAGGGGGTTACAACGGGTTACAGAGGGTTACAAGGGGTTACAGAAGGTTACAGCGGGTTACGAGGGGTTACATGGGGTTACAGGGGGTTACAAGGGGTTAGAAGGGGTTACAGTGGGTTACAACGGGTTACAGGGGGTTAGAAAGGGTTACAGGAATCTACAGGGGGTTACAAAGTCTTACAGGGGGTAACAAGGGTTACAAAGGGTTACAAGGGGATAAAGGAGATTAAACGGGCTACAGGGGGTTACAAGGGGATACAGGGGATTACAATGGGTTACAGGGGGTTAGAAGAGGTTACAGGGGGTTAAAACGGGCAACAGGGGGATACAACGGGTTAGAGGGAGTTACAAGGGGTTACAGGAAGTTAAAGAGGGTAATAGGGGGTTACAAGAGGTAACAGGGGGTTACAAGGGGTTAAAAGGCGTTACAAAGGATTACAGGAGGTTACAGAAAGCTACCAAGGGTTACAGGGGGTTACAAGGGGTTACAGAAGGTTACAACGGGTTACAGGGGGTTACAAAGGGTTACAAGGGGGTTGCAAGTGATTAAAAGGGGTCACAGGAGGTTACAACAGGTTACAAGGGGTTACAGGGGGTTACAAGGGGTTACAGAAGGTGACAACGGCTTACAGAAAGTGACAGCGGGTTACAAGGGCTTACAGAGGGTTACAAGGGGTTAAAAGGGGTTACAGGGGGTTACAAGGGCTTACAAGGGGGTACAAGGGGTTACAGAAAGTTACAAGGGCTTACAGGGGGTTCCTAGAAGTTAGAGGGGGTTACAGGAGGTTTCAACGGGTTACCAGGGGTTACAAGGGCTTACAGAAGGTAAAAAGGTTTCACAGGAAGTGACAGGGGGTTACAATCGGTTACAGGGAATTACAGGGGGTTACAGGGGATTACAAAGGGTAACATGGGGTTACAAAGGTTACAGAGGTTTCAAGGGGTTACTAGGGGTAACAAGGGGTTACAGGGGCTTAACAGGGGTTACAGGGGGTTACAAGGGGTTACAGGGGGTTACAAGAATTTACAGGGGGTTACAGGGAGTTACAAGAGGTTCCAGGGGGTTACAAGGGCTTACAGAGGGTTAAAAGGGGTTACAAAGGGTTACAGGGGGTTACAAGGGGTTACAAAAGGTAACAAGGGGTTACAAAAGGTAACAAGGGGTTACAGGGGATTAACAGGGGTTACAGGGGGTTACAAAGGGTTACGGAAGGTGACAAGGGCTTACTGGAAGTAACAGGGGGTTACAAGGGCTTACAGAGGGTTACAAGGGGTTACAGGGGGTTACAATCGGTTACAGTTAATTACAGGGGGTTACAGGGGATTACAAATGGTGACATGGGGTTACAGAGGTTACAGGGGCTACCGGGGATTACAAAGGCTAACAAGGGGTTACAGGGGGTTACAAGGGGTTACAGAAGGTGGTAGGGGTTTACAGGAAGTGACAGGGGGTTTGAAGGGCTTTCAGAGGGTTACAAGGGGTTTCAGGGGTTACAATCGGTTACAGGGAATTACAGGGGGTTAAAGGGGATTACAAAGGGTAACATGAGGTTACAGAGGTTACAGGGGTTTCAAGGGGTTACAAGGCGTAACAAGGGGTTACAGGGGCTTAACAGGGGTTACAGGGGGTTACAAGGGGTTACAGGGGGTTACAAGAATTTACAGGGGGTTACAGGGAGTTACAAGAGGTTCCAGGGGGTTACAAGGGCTTACAGAGGGTTAAAAGGGGTTACAAAGGGTTACAGGGGGTTACAAGGGGTTACAAAAGGTAACAAGGGGTTACAAAAGATAACAAGGGGTTACAGGGGATTAACAGGGGTTACAGGGGGTTACAAAGGGTTACGGAAGGTGACAAGGGCTTACAGGAAGTGATAGGGGGTTACAAGGGCTTACAGAGGGTTACAAGGGGTTACAGGGGGTTACAAGGGGTTACAAGGGGATACAAGGGGGTAAAAGGAGTTACAGAAAGTTACAAGAGGTTACAGGGGGCTACTAGAAGTTAGAGGGGGTTACAGGGAGTTACAAGGTGTTACAAGGGGTTACAAGGAGTTACAGAAGGTGACAAGGGCGTACAGGAAGTGACAGGGGGTTGCAAGGGCTTACAGAGGGTTAAAAGGGGTTACAAGGGGTTACAAAAGGTAACAAGGGGTTACAGGGGATTAACAGGGGTTACAGGGGGTTACTGCGGGTTACAAGGGGTTACAGAAGGTTACAGGGGGTTATAAGGGGTTACAGGGGGTTACGACTGGTTACAGGGGGTTGCAAGTGGTTACTGCGGGTTACAGAAGGTTACAGGGGGTTATAAGGGGTTACAGGAGGTTACAGATGGTTTAAGGTGCTTTACAATTGGTTACAGGGGGTTACAAGGGGTTAAAGGGACAAGGGGTTGCAATTGGTTACAAGGGGTTACAGAAGGTTGCAGGGGGTTAGAGGGGGTTACAAGGGGTTACGGGGGGTTACAAGGGGTTACAATTGGTTACAGGGGGTTCAAGGAGGTTACAAGGGGTTACAGGGGTTACAGGGTGTTACTAGGGGTTACAAGGGGTTACAGGGGGTTACGGGGGGTTACAAGGGGTTACAGGGGGTTACAAGGGGTTACAAGGGGTTACAAGGGGTTAATGGGGTTTGAAAGGGTTACAGGGGGTTTCGAGGGGTTACAGGGGGTTACAAGGGGTTACAGGGTATTACAGGTGGTCAAAAGGGGTTGCAAGGGGTTACTAATAATAATAATAAAAATAATAACAATTTATTCATTTATAGTGCCCTTTTTAACATGCTAGGTGATCAAAAGCGCACTACGGCAATAAATAACCTAAAAACTATTAATACAAATATTAGAAATATACAAATATATTTAATATCTAATAGATATTAAAAGCTAATTTAAAATGATAAGTTTTAAGATTAGATTTAAAAGTAGAAATACATTTGATGCTGCGGAGGCTAACAGGAAG